GTCACCTCCCCTTTCGTAGTCCGCCCCCGCCGGCAGCCGCAGCAGCAGCAGCAGCAGCGGCAGCGAAGTCGAAGAGAGGTGGCACCACCAACAAGCTCCCTGCTGCTGCTGCTGGCGGTGACGGCGGTGCGGCTGCCGTTGCGTCGTCAACATCGGCGGGTTCTGCGAAGACGAAGCGGGGGAGCAAGAGCAAGAGCAAGAAGACCCCGTCGCCGCGTCAACGGCAGCAGCCGCAGCAGCAGAAGCAGCCGGCTAAGAGGGTAAGCGGCAGGGCTAGTACGGGCGGCGGTGGGCGCAACAGTAGCAGGGGGGTAGCAAGTCCCGGTACCGCTACGGCATCTCCGCGTCGGGGTAGTACCCCGGTAACCAGCCGCACCAGCGGCAGCAGCAGCCGTGGCGGTGGGAGCGGACTCCCCGCCACCGCCGGCGGCGAGGGGTGGCAGCCACCGTGGCGTGCTGGGGGCGCTGCTACAGCTGCCGCTGCTGCTGCGGCGGCGGCGGCGGCCGCAGCGGCGGCGGCTTCGGCGGGGAGCAGCAGCGCCGCCGGCGGGGGCTCGTCGACCAGAAACCGGTCTTCGTCCTCGTCCTCGTCTTCGAGCAAGCTCCCTCTCCTGCAGTGGACACTGAGGTATCACTGGCCGGACACCGACGTGGCGGCAGCAGCCTCCGCCGCCGCCGCCGATTCGCCCGCTGCCAACACCGGCGCGGCCGCGGTCGGACCCGGCTCCGCTGCCTCGTCGTCCGCGTTGGAGGGCGGTGTCAGCGGCGGCGGCGGCGGCGGCAGCAGTGGTAGCCGCAAGAGAAATAGCAAGGGGCGAGCCGGGGGAGCCGTGGAGGAGAATCGGGGAAAGGGAAGGGGGCACAACAACAGCAGCAGCACGGAGGAGGCGATAGAGGAGGAGGCAGCTCTGGCGCTGGGAGGGGGGCAAGGAGGAGCCGAGGTGGTGGTGGCCGGGGGCGACGCAGATGGGACTGTCGTACGGAGGTATACGGAGGTGGACTTCACGAACGGGGAGCTTCCTTCCGGTGAGAGACTCGTACCCGCCGCCGTCCCCCCCCCCACCCCCACCCCCCGGGACAACACGGACCCCGCGAAGTTGCCGGCTACACCTACAGCAGCGTGTGTGATGCTGCGAGCTTGTTCTTCGCACGGAAACGGTTGTTGGTGTTGGCGTTGGTGTTGCATTTGTTGTTGTTGTTGTTGTTGTTGTTGTTGTCTTCTACCGGGAATCATCCCGGTCTCTTCTCGATGTGCCTTCCGACGCCCGTACCGGCCCAACTGACTCGGAACGCCTTCCATGGTCACAACAGTCCCGCTACTTTTGTGCATACCCCCTCAAGGGTTACTGCACTAACTGCGTTGCAAGGTGTTTCTATGCCCGACTGTCGCCACGAGGTTGTTGTTGTTGTTGTTGTTGTTGTCTTAACACGTTACGAAGCTGTGCCGGTCTCCTCTCTGTACGTTCTAGTATCCGTACCGGTGCAACAAACGCAGACGGCTTCGGTGGTGACAGGCCAACCACCCCAAAAACGGGACACATTTTCTAGATTTCAAAGAACAGAGGTGTGTGTGTGTGTGTATGTGTGTGTGTGTTCGTCCCATCTAATCTGGCGGGTGTGTATGTGTGTGTGTTCGTCCCATCTAATCTGGCGGGTATGTGTGTGTGTGTGTGTTCGTCCCATCTAATCTGGCGGGTGTGTATGTGTGTGTGCGTGTTCGTCCCATCTATTCTGGCGGGTGTGTATGTGTGTGTGTGTTCGTCCCATCTAATCTGGCGGGTATGTGTGTGTGTGTTCGTCCCATCTAATCTGGCGGGTATGTGTGTGTGTGCGTGTTCGTCCCATCTAATCTGGCGGGTGTGTGTGTGTGTGTGTGTGTGTTCGTCCCATCTAATCTGGCGGCGGCCAGCCTACTACCCTTTGCCTTTCGGTGTGTGTACAATGTATATATCTCACCGATCAGCCGAGGTTGAAGCAGAGGAAGGTAACACACAGGAGCGAGGAACGACCGAAAATTCAATGTTTTCGTTTTTTATTTTTCTGAATAATGGCACAATGAAATCCATCTCTATCCACAGAAAAGAGTCTGTTGGGATAACATGGTAAATGTAAGTCAGAAGTCGTTTTTTGTCTTGTAATCTTGCGGCGTCTCCACACCATGTCGGCGACCGCTCACGTGCGCGACAGGCGCGACAATGTTCGAGGCTGTCCAGATGCTGATGCTGAAGCACGCTCGAGAGACGGCCGGGGGCGAAGTCCCGATAACCAGTAGCGGGTACGTGTGTACGTGTGTGCGTATGTCCGCCCTTATTTCCTTCCCTGCCTGTGTTTTTTTAGCCTCCTCGGCACGTGGTTATTGTTGTCTCTTGTTTGTAGTGGGGCGGGCCGCTTGATGCTATTGTCACGTCGAACACGAGACGGAGCCCCCCCCCCCCAAAAAAAGAAGGGTGATGACGAGGGGGGGCACCCACGGTGAAGTGTAGGCTGGCTCGCTGACTCCTTCGCGTTCTCTCTCTCTCTGTGTGCTTTCCTGTGGCCGTGTGCGTTGACTGTCTCTCTCTCGGACTCGGACTCGGACTTGCCTCTGCCTTTCTGCCTCTGCTTGTCTGCCTCTGCTTGCCTGCCTCTGCTTGCCTGCCTCTGCTTGCCTGCGTCCCCCGGTGTTTCACCCTTCGTCTCTCCCCCCTCGCCCCCCTGCCGCCGCTGCCACTCTCTCTCTTTCTATCGGTCGGCATCGATGCATCTCTCGCTTCGTGGATAACCCCCAAAAATCTCGCTCAAAATCACACGCGCGCGCAGGGACCGTTTCCCGCATCGCTCCATGCCAATGCCGCGAGAGCAGTGGGGGAAGACCATCACGTTGGAGTTCTCCCCCCGCTCCTGTTCCTCGCATTCTGCGAAGCCCCCGCCCGCCTCCTCTGCCGCGTCTGCATCCCCCGGCGTCGCCGCCGGGAGAGCCGCTAGCGCGGCACCCCCCGCTAGCGCCAGCGGCGGCCCCGCTGGTTCTGGAGCTGCGGCGTCTAGCAGCAGCGGTGGCGGCGGCAGCGGCGCCGCCGCCGCCGCGGGTCCTTTGCCGCCGGCGGAGGCGTCTTCTTCTTCCAGTGCCCCCGCAGGTCCTTCTTCCGCTGCCCGCTCGGCGGCTGATTGGTCATCAAGGCGTGTGGGCGGTGGTGGTGGCGGTAGCGGTAGCGGTGGTGGCGGTAGCGGTGGTCGTAGAGACAGGAAGGGCAAGGACAAGAAGGAGAAGCCCTTGGAGGTGCTGGAGCTCCCCCGCGTGCTCGCCCCGGGGGCCACGCCCCTCGACGCCAGGTGCCGTGCTGCTGCTGCTGTTGTTGTTGGCCATGTTGATGTTGCTGTTGCTTTTGTTATGGTTGCAGGTGGTGGTGGTGTTGTTTGTTGTTGTTTGTGGTTGTAGGTGTCGGTGCCGGTGTTATTGCTGTTGTTGTTCTGGTGTTGTTGGTTGTGTGTTGTCCTTCGCACAGATTCAATTGTTTGGCGTTTCTGTGGTTGCAGTTGCCGCCGTTGTTGTGGTTGTTGCTGGTGTTGTCGTTAAAGTGGTTGTTTGTGAGATGTGGGTGCCAGTGTTCTATTACTCTGCACTGCGGTTCGCTGTTGGCTCTTGCTATTGTTTTGAGGGGGAGGCGGAGCGACAACACACTTGGGAGAACTTCGTCATCCATCAGTTCAGCACCAGTGTGTGGTACCATCGACATCGCGGTGGCCCCCGATACTGTTGGCAAATCTAACCCTTCTTTTTCGTGTTCTTTTTGCTGCACACCCAGGCTCGCCGTTGTGCACGGGCTGATGGAGAAGGGAGGAGGCGGCGGAATCGGTGCTGGGTTCCGTTTCGGCGAACACCTTTGCCTCCTGAGCGCCTTGCAGGCGGTTTGTGAGGAGTGGAGCGGGCTTCGAAGGAGGTGGGATAGTTGTCGTTGAGGTTGCGGGTGTTGTTGTTGTTGTTGTTGTCATTGTTGTTGTTGTTGTTGTTGTTGTTGTTGTTGCTATTTTGCGTTTTTTGCTATTTTGTGTTGTTCCTACTGCTTGTTGTTGCTGTTGCCGCTAAGGCTGGCTGGCTGGCTGGCTGGCTGGCTTGCAGGCTCCAATCGATGAATGATATAAGTCGATGAAGGATATGCCATAAGTGGCAGCTTTGACTCGTAGGTTCTGCCAGAGCCATCA